CTTGGTAAGATATGTGGAAGATATGGTCGATAACCTATTGACCCATGTTCAAATCCTAGCACTACTCAGCCCTTGTGGCCATGGAAGTTCGCCTACAGTGACTCCTGGGCATGAGGCAAAGCCTCATGTTTGCAGCGGGGAATTAGTCGGTGCGCGAAAGCTGGCCCGTAAACCCTCGTTAGGGAAGTTCCCTTTCCAAGAAAAAAATTTACATTATTTTTTATTTTAAAGGTATTGTTTACGATATTTCATCAACAATTTTTATGACAACTTTCGTAATTCAGAATTGAAAGCTTTAGCTTATTGTGTCGGGAGTCGGAATCAAATTCGAAAGTTCAACTCCATCATGTAAGAAATTGTAAATTTAAATCCATGTGCTCGACATTGGTTGGAGAGTCATCCACTTATCAGATGGACACTTGCACATGATGGTGGAAGGAGATATGAATTGCTCACAACAAATTTGTCAGAGATTTTCAAAGGTGTACTTAAATGTGCTCGATTTTTACCAATCAGAGCTTATATGCAACTTACATTCTATAGAATGGTGTATTATTTTGAGGTGATACGTCCTTTAGGATCTAGTTCTCAAGCTAATGGAGATGCACATACTCCACATGTTGTTGCAAAATAAGTTGCTTGAATGTCAAAAACAAGTGCACATTCCTTAAGATCTTTTAACCGAGAAAAAATGTATATTTGAGTTGATAACTCAAAAATGTCGAAATGTGCAAGTAGTTAATTTGGAAATCATACGTTTTAATGTTACTTTAGAAAATGCTTCCAAAAATAAAAAATGGACGTCGTCAAAGATTTTTAAAAAAGAAAATTGTTCATTTTTCTTCAAAAGAGACAATCAAGTAAATTTGTGAAGAAATTGATAAGGATACGTTTGCTACGTTAGTAGACGAGTCTAGTAAAATTGTAATTTTAAAAAAAAAATTACCTTCTTATTTTTTATTGAAATTTTTTTTTTTGGTGCTACCATTTTCTGCCACTGCATATTGCTAGAAATAGCGTGGATAGTATTTTTTAATTAATTTGGTGGACGAATGTTTTGATGTCTTTACCAGATGACAAATGACACTTGTTTCCAGTATCTCAACAAAAAATGTTACGTTATTGAACTCTTTCTTGGGATTGTACACATCACTGACAGTAGTTCTTCACCCTTGAAAACTTTGACTCCTAACTTGCAGTGCATAAGATTAGTGTGCAGCATATTTGTGACCAAAACTTTGACTCCATTACTTTGCACATCAACTTTAGTCAGCACTTGTTATTGTAGCTATACATCATGTTGATCACGTTCATTTTTCGTATGATTGATAACTTGTTGAATTTTATAAGAACAAGTTGCAAATATTCTTAGTAAGCATCGATAAAGTCTTACACCAAAATTATATCATTCGGAGTACAATATATACATGATGAGTCTTTCATTATACAGCATTGCTAAACATGGATATCATATCCTGAAGTACTTTGATATGTCTTGAAGATGGTGGAGTCCCAAATGAAAATCAAAAGGAATTGTACTGCTGCTTAAAGCACGATCTTTTGGTTTTGTTTTTCTCAAAACAAGTGTAACAAATGATGAGAAACAATGAGTTGGAAAATCTAGTAAATAAAGTTTTTTTTCAATTTGTGACATCTATAACATTGATATCTAAAGAAGGATCATGCATTTGCATTGCAGCTCGAGATGGTGTCTTAATATGCATTTTCATTGTTATGAGTTAAGACATTGAGTTATTCAAAATTGTGATAGACAGAGTATTTCAGGATCCAATAACATACCCTTGTCTATGAAGAAGGAAAAATTGGTTCATTTAACCGAGTTTAACACTTCAAACTTTTCATATTTTATTGTTAATGACAATCAGCTCGACACATATTTTCTTGACATAAAATCCGGTTTAACAAGTTTTATGAAGATTGTAAAGACTCAATTGCATAACATATGGTGTTAGATTCATCAAGAACCTGTGTTGTAAGATGTTGACAATGACAACATATTGAAAAGATTTCAAACTATATGATCTTGTTACAAGTTGCAAAAGAATTAATTCGTTAATTATATTATCTTTGGTAATATACTAATATATAAGAAATGTATGACGTGGATACATACCATAAAGACGACTCCCTACCCCACACAACCACAACCACTTCGAATGGGAATAATGACAAGACAAACTGCTTAACAAGATGCCAAATTCAACCAAAACCATCCGCCATTTGATTCCCTTTTTGTCTTTCCATAAATACCCTTTTCGTCTCCACTACCCTAATCATCTCTTTCTTTTCAAATGGAAACATCAATCTCTAAACTAATCGCACAGTTTAGAGGATTGAATCCATTAACAACAACACCTTCCTTCTCCTTGTCGTCTTCGTCATCAATATTCACGATTTTGGCCTTGGTAGCTGGGATTTTGGTCTACTTTTATGGACCATTTTGGGGTGTTCGGAAAGTACCAGGTCCTCCAGCCATTCCCTTTGTAGGACACTTGCCTTTGCTTGCTCAACATGGTCCCGATTTGTTCTCTCTTCTCGCCAACAAATATGGCCCGATCTTCAGGTTTCACTTCCATTTTTGTTCTCTATCAAATCATATCATATGTGCTTTCTAAAGTTTGCTAATTTTGACAAGAAAGTCAAACTGTTTGTCGTATTAGGAAAATGATAGAGTGTGAGAGTGAAATGAACAGAGTCTGTAAAGTCAAAATTGGTCAACTTGAATGCTGTGTAAATGTTGATCAGGTTTCATATGGGAAGACAGCCATTAGTGATTGTAGCTGATCCAGAACTATGCAGACAAGTCGGGATCAAGAAATTCAAAGAATTTCCAAACAGAAGCATCCCTTCGCCTATCTTGGCTTCCCCACTTCATCGGAAAGGTCTCTTTTGGATAAGGTACCTCTACATTCATAACTTGTACCCTGCAACTACGCAAACTTGTATCTCACACGAACGATCGATCTCAATTTCTCAATTTCAGGGATTCAAGATGGTCAACAATGCGCAACACGATACTCTCAATGTACCAGCCATCACACTTGGCAAAATTAATCCCAATGATGCAATCATTCATCGAAACCACATCTCAGAATCTCCCAATCGAAGAGGATCAAGACATAAACTTTAACGAACTTTCACTCAAAATGGCTACTGATGTGATCGGAAAAGCGGCTTTTGGTTTTGATTTTGGCCTCTCTAAACCTATCCACCATCAACACAACGATACCCAAATCGACTCTTTCATCAAGCAACACATCTACTCTACAAAGATGCTCAAAATGGACTTGTCGGCCTCGTTTTCAATCATTATAGGGCTCCTTCTCCCGATACTCCAAGAGCCGTTTCGCCAGATACTCAAGAGAATTCCGTACACCCTGGACTGGAAAATTGAAAGAACAAACAAGAACTTGAATTGTCAAATTGATGAGATTGTGGTCAAGAAGATGGAAGACAAAGAAAGAGGATCTAATGATTTCTTGTCACTGATATTGAACGCAAGGGAATCAGAGACTACTACAACAAAATTATTCACACCAGACTACATTAGTGGTGTCACATACGAGCATCTCCTTGCTGGATCTGCAACCACGTCATTTACACTTTCGTCCATTGTTTATCTGGTTTCTGGGCACCCAGAAGTCGAAAAGAAGTTGCTTGAAGAGATGGATGCATTTGGTCCACACGATAAGATTCCAACTGCTGATGATCTTCAATCAAGATTCCCGTATCTTGATCAGGTGGTGAAAGAAGCAATGAGATTTTACGTAGTTTCTCCATTGGTAGCACGCGAAACGTCAACACAAGTAGAGATAGGAGGTTATGTTCTCCCCAAGGTACTTCCTTTACTGCATAACTTACAACTATCCATTCAAATTCGTTCTTCCATTCTTATTTCTTCATTTTGTTCATGAACAGGGGACATGGGTGTGGTTGGCGATTGGAGTTTTAGCAAAGGATCCGAAGAATTTCCCGGACCCGGATAAATTCAAGCCCGAGAGATTTGACCCGAACTGTGATGAAGAAAAGCAAAGGCATCCATATGCCTACATACCCTTTGGGATTGGGCCTAGAGCATGTATTGGTCAGAAGTTTTCTTTGCAAGAAATTAAGCTCACTTTGGTTCATTTATACCAGAGATACGTCTTTCGACACTCACCTAATATGGAAACCCCTCTGGAGTTTGATTTTGGGATAGTTCTTAACTTCAAATATGGTGTCAAGGTTAGAGCCATTAAACGAACATGATGCATTGATGCTAGCGTTGTCTCTTGATTGTAACCTCCATCAAAAATCTTGTGTAATAAAAAGATTGGAATGTATCGAAAGAATTATGTCAGAGGATTGTTCTTTTATACTGATCGACCTTTGATCATATCAAATTAAGTATACTCTCACAAACCACCAAGTTCAAGACGTTGTACATGAAAATTGAGTCGGAAATTCGGAAAGTTGTACACAAAATTAAAAACCTTCAAGAAGATGATGGAAGGATCTTGATGCCACTTCCAAGTTCTAGTGCTAGAATTGTGTATAATCTTTGTTGTAAATATTCTTGGAAAGTGTCCATTGAAGAATATGTATGTTCGGTTGATAAGTTGTTGGTCTTTAATTTCTACACGTTGTTGGATTGTTAGCCACTCATCTTCAAATTGTTGATGTTGATATTGATAGAAACTCCCAAATAAAACATCTTTTAAATATCCAAATGCTAGGTCCGTTACTTTGCACATCAGTTTCAATCGGCCCTTGTTGGTGTAGGTATGAATCATGTCGATATCATTTTGATTTTGCATATGATTGATAGCTTGGTGAATGTTATGAGAAACAAGTTGACAAATATTGTAAAAGCAACAATATTTGGGAGGCTTACACCAAAATCATATCATACCAAGTACAAATGTAGTACTTGGACATGTAGTTAAGCTCTAAACAATTCAAATACCTTCACAAAACATTTTTGTAATCATAATCCACACACATCAAGCATAGTAATTGCCAGTTATAACACCAAGATTTGTAAAAAAAAAAAAAAAATCTTTGCACCCTCATAAGCTAACAGATTCGATTGGGGAAAAAGTAGCATCATCTTGTATACATAATGAAGCATCAAGCTCTAATCGACTCAAAACATGTATACTTCTCTATTTATGACCGACCGACCTCCTAAACATTATAGCTGTGCATCAACATCAACAAGCCGGACATTTTCATCTCATTTTTTTACCTCTTTAATTTCAATCAAGGTTTTGCTTTCGATGGAGATGTTACCAAATGATGCAATGTTGCTGCCTGGATGATTGTACTCGGGTTTGAATTTTGCTCCCGGTTTCTAAGAGAACTCGGTTGCCGAGATCCAAAGTTCCGCTCCACGGGTCGCCACTTCCGTGGTAGAAAACGAATCAACCGTGTTGATGTTACCAATAAAATCACTCCCGTAACTATTAGCAACCTGCATTCGACACCAAAAGGAGTATCATCAGACAGTAGACAACAGACAGCAGACAGCAGACAGCAGATTGATATTAGTCTATTACCATCCAAGTAAAAGCCAAAGACGGGATGTTGGACTTTCAGGCAAGCGTTCTCCAAGAGCAAGCATGCCAGCAAGTACACCTGTCACAATTGAAGCCACAGCAGCACATGTGGACACAACAACTGCTCTACCATGCTTTAACCCGCGGGTCTGTTTATATAAATAATATTCTTTGAATTAGCAAAATTAGCAAAAGGGCAAAATGGTAAATGGAGTAAAGGATATTTGAGAGACCTGGTAAACAAACCCTGAAGCACTACAGCATATACTGATTGAGATGCAAACAGGAACAAGCAATGCGGAGAATCCCTGCTCCAGGAATACAAATCCCATTTTTGAAATTACAGATGCAATCCTGCATTCGATAGATACCAAGGATTATAGAAAAGGGCATTCTTGTCTTTTGCATACAAAATTTGTTCAGGCTGCAAATATATATGGTACTTGAAAGAGAAAAATACCCGAACAAAATGCCAGATTCCAAGCCGTATATGATCTCTTCAACAACTTCAGATTGCATCTGCATAAAATTCCAAAATAGTAAATACACATAAATATATATAAAAAATTATATAAATTTTTATTGAAAAAGAAGGGTACTAACCAGTTCTTGCTCTCTTCGCTGACGCCTGTAAATACGAAGCCATCCATTCAAGAGTACCTACATTACATAATACATATATACAAAGAGTCAAAGATGTCTCTTTTATACTTACCTAAAATATTGGTAATTTTGTACAAGTAAATAAATAGATCTCATTTCAAGTAAAAACTAATAATATTAGCATCAAAAGGACAAATAAGTTGAAGAATAAGATACCTACAAACAAAAATGCAACACCACATGCCACCCAAGGCAAGTGTAAGATAGATATTGAGGAGGCCTTTTGCTCCTCTCCTCCAGCACCAACTCCTGCATACATATACAAAAACCATATAGATAATAGATACACCTCTCAAGTCATGATAAAACATATAGAGGACATAAATTCTTAACACTCTTAAGTTACTTATAAGTTATATGACATTACCAGATTAGCTTATATAGTTTTGTTAGAAGACAACTTTAGAAACTCACATTACCTATGGTGCCAAGGCCAGCCAAGGTAATACCCAGCCAATCAACAGCATTCATGACTTCCTTCAGGTAGAAATGAGAAAACACAGATAGAATTGCAAGACCACATCCCGAAACTGGTTGAATCACAGAGACCTAGATAGAGCATAGATATATAGCAAATACATGTCATTTATGGATGCCTATTTTCCCCAAAAGGGTATAGGGTGGATGATATTCTAGATATGTATGAATGAGTAAGATGAAAGAGAACTTCATAATTATAGAGATAGAAGTTTGATCAAGAAAGCTTACAGGAGCTAGAGATAATGCACGTAACATCAGCAATGCCCCAAAGATATCCATAATAAAGCCTATCAGCCATGGCTTATTAGAAGCATATGCTCTTACCACCTACAAGATAAAAGAATTGCATATCAATTTCAACCCAAAATTCATTATCCACATTTGAAATAAGTCAAAAGCAGACTCTTTCATACAAAACAAGTTGGTCTAAGATAGGAGACTGCTGAAGAATCTAGTCACATGATATCCCAAACCCTACAATAGATTCATAAGTTCATATTGGGGGTATAACAATTTGACCTACCTCCAACTAAAAACTCATTAAAATGACAGAATCAAAACACAATTTCAAAGTGAAACTCACAATTGTTGCACAGTATCATCACTGGATTAAGTATGAGCATTCTTAGGAAAGAATAATGACTTAAATATTCAATGAAGTGAATTTCTTTACCTATTTATGTGGTCATGTTTCTGTTTGTTACCAATTTATTCAACAGATTGGATTTCTTAACCGTTTATGCGTTCATAAACTGGTAACAAATCAAACATGGCTGCACAAATTGGTAAGAAATCAATTGTTGTATAATTTGGTAAACTCATATAACTTGTAAGTCCGCTGCATAAATAGTTATTACCCCTTCTTAGGGATATAGCTTTTCAATTCATCATACTATTTATCAAGAAATTAACCTATTTTCACATCTAAAATATGTAAATCTAAAACCACATTACCTAAGTTCCAAATGCTTAGTGTAACTGATTTGCAAAATAAATCAAGCGAGCAAATGGAGATCGCAGTGAACTCTCAATCAACAATTTAACATTAACATGAACTACGCACATAAGACCACTAGCAAAAGGCGTAGATCAAAAGCTTAATTATCTACAAAAGAAAGATGCATATATACACAGACTACCGACAAAGAGAATGGATGCGTAAATGAATCATGCCTTGAGTTTGAGAGAGAGAGGAGGGAGAATGACAGTGCCCTTCTTCTGGAGAACTTTTCCGATGTTGTTACCGGCGGTGGCTGCTACCGTCAGGAAGATCGATTCCCACATCTCTCTTTCTCTTTCTCTTTCTCTCTCTCCCCCTCTTTTCGGTCTATAGACGGAAGCGTTGGATCATGTATGTTGGGTCGATTGCCGGAATATGCCCCAACTTTCATCCGCTTCCTATTTTCTAATTAAAAAAATAAAAATTAATAACATAAAAACCATTATTTGTATATTTATTTTATGTTTTAGCCTAAAATGATTTTTTGTTTTTTTATTTATGTTTTAAAGTTATGAATGTAATGATATATGAAATTTGATATGTTTTTTAACGGCAAACAAGTTTAAAAAAATTGCTTGAAAGTTGGTTTTTATAGAGTTGGGCTAAGTCAAAATCAGCACATTAGCATGTGGAAGAGAAATTGTATTTTATACCTCTCTAAGTTGAAATAAAACAAAATAGAAATATGTAACCTTCATATTTTAGTATCATGAAATATGTAAAACATATTTTATATTTTCATATTTTAGTAACATGAAATATGTAAAACATATTTTATATTGATATAGTGAAAAATAGTTATAATGATTTTCAGGACCGAAAGTATGTCATATCAAATATAAGTCAAAATAAAACAAATTTATATCATTATTTATATAAAATTAAGATGTTCTCAATGATATACTTAACTTTGAGCCAGATATTCCGAGATAAATATTATGATTAAAAATCAAAATAAGCAACTTTAGTTATTTATAAAAATAAAAATTATAGTTAAATAGTATTAAATCTATTATTTATTGGATGCTTAAAACATGTATAAAAGTGAAAATATATAAAATAAATTTATTAAAAAATTAAGTTTTAGAGACATAAAAACAAAATCGAAAAAAAAAAGGTTCGTAAAAAAGAAAATTGTAAAGAAAAAGTTGTAAATAAAACTAAATTTTCTTGTTATAAAAAAACTATTTCTCGAATAAAATTAAGATTTAAAAATATATAAAGACTAATTTAAAAAGAAGGTGGGAAATTAAAAAATGAACCAAATTTGAAGAGAAATTAAAACGTGGGACAAAAGTGTAAAAAGGAAAATCATATGGGGTTTTGGATCTGTCCGGGACAAGTGGGTGGCTTGGTTTATCTTGGGCTCCATTACTAAAATTCGAACCCTACCCTGTTGGATCGCAAAAGCAATACTTGCATTTCTTTTTAAACGGGCATAAAACATTTATAAAGATTATCCAATCTAATTAAAAAGAAACAATATATTACATATTATATACATATTAATATTAATAAGAGTAGCGCTAACGAAGAGTATAAGTATTCTGGTGTGTTGTTTCCGATTTTCTCTTGTTGGCCGGGATGAACTATTCATCAGTTGATATTAAGCTGAATTCTTTACCTTTTATTGCATGTTGGCCAGTTGTTGCGATCTTCTGCTTTCAGTTCTCTTTGATTTTTGGGATATTGCTCCTTCCTTATAGTTTCTTCCACTTTCTACGCCTTGATTTCTTCTAAAGTTTGCCGGGGTTAGATTCTGTTTAGTGCTTCTTCGCAAGTTTTCTTTGTATCTTTGTCGGATTAGGGTCATGTTAATTGGAATCGACTGTCCCTGAAGATCGCTTCATCTTTGTTTGTCCTTCTCCATCATCTGCTAAATCGATGGCCATAGTGGAAGGAACAAGGACATGTTAGCATTTGTCCAGGTAATCGGCAATACTAGAGTTCTGTTGGGCTAACCAATAGTTCTCCTAGTAAGCAAACATGGATATCATAGTAATCGGTATTTTTTTAATCGATTTTCTTTGTAACTAACTAAGTTACAATTCGATTTGGTTATAACCATGACCAATTTGAGCCGTGATTTTCGAGATTTTTATGTTTACAATAGTTAATTGTAATAAACTTTGTGTTTTTACATGATGCAGAGCAAGCATGGATTAGAAAAGATGGAAAACCAAGACATGCATACTGATGAGGGATGTATGGCTCGAAAGGCTCAATAAACAACGAGAGGTTGAAACGAAAAAAAAATAAGAATTCAAAGTAAGAAGGCAAAAGGCTGGTCCGGTCTTCTCCAATTCGACTCTGGAACTTCTGATGTAAATTTTTGCCTATTGTAATCAGTTGATTGTATATCCATACGCATTTATGTGCCTTAATTGTATGGATTGTAATTTATCCTACCTATCTTCAGAATCCGATAAGCGAAAATCATGAATAATATCTAAAAGTTGTTGCAAATGATCTAACACAATTCCTGAAGTAATGGTACGAAACCAAGATCATTTCCAATCAGTATCATCTCATCTCTCATTTATAGAGCAATCTCTCTATTTCTAAAGCAAATAATCTTGGAAATCGAACCATTAGAGGAATACCAACAATCCAATCGTATTTCCAGAATAAAGTATACTTCTCATTACCAATAACACGTTGAACAACATCTTTCGAAACGATCTCTTTGTCGTGAAGCTGATTACTAAAATAATAATAAATTTAATAATATATATAAGAGAAAATGACAAAAATAGCCAATTATCCTAATCACTTTGCGTAAAATAGCCAAAAAAAATCGAAATTGCAAAAATGGCCACGAAATTCGCAGATGGGAATGGTCCATCTGCGATTTGCACATTCCATCTGCGAATGTACAAGTGGCTAAAGCACAAGTGCTTTAGCCACTTGTACATTCGCAGGTGGATTGAATTTTTTAATTTTTTTTTTCTCTATATATAGGGCATTTCAGGCTTAAATCGCAGATGGACACAGTCCATCTGCGATTTTCTCTGTATTCCATCTGCGATTTTAGGTTTTTTTTTTTAACTTTTTTTTTTTAATTTGACTATGAAATCAATTGGTTTGACTACGAAATAATGTTACTATATATAAACTTTTGTAGAAAATTATCAGTTTAGTTGTTATTTGTTTAGGAAATTTCTCTAAAATCTCTCTAAAAAAATGATTGAATATTTGGTTTGTCTTGTAACCGATGGGAGATGGCAAGTTATTGAAACAAATCTGGAATACGTATGTCCACATGGAGGTATTTCTGAATTCGCTTTGATATTTTCTGAGTATATTAGTTATAGTGATTTTGTATCTTTGGTGAGAAGCAAAATTGGTTTGTTAGACCAATATAGAATTAGTCTTCGTTTCCATCATCCTGAATTGAATTATTATATAGCTATAGTTGAAGACATGAATGTTAGAATGTTGATAAATGTAATCAAATGTAGTGGAGGAAGGGCTGTCAAAGTGTTTGTGATGGTTGATGAAGGAGATGAGGTTAATGAGGCTGGTCACAGTGGAAATCAGCCGGTTGGTAATTTATGCAGCTATAAAGGGAGCAACGATCCGATAGGTACTTTCAATACTCCTAGTGTACCTCAGTTTCACAGTGTTGCTGAAAATGTTAATGTTAGTTATTCACCTATTAACTATGTGGATCCTGAGAATTACAAGTATGTTGGTGATGATGATGTTGGTACATATCTTAATGATGTGGGTGGTCGTTGTGATGATGTTGTCGAACAAGAAGTTAAAGTTATGAATAGGCGTGTAGTAGATAAAAGTAAAAAGAAAAAAATTCGAGTCAAAAAAATGAAAAAAAGCATGTTTACGGGGATTATGTTGATGTTGTTGATGTACGTTTAGATATAACCGACTTACAAAGCAATTCAGATAGAGATGAGTTGGGTGATGAAGTTAAAGCTAAGTTTCTCGATAACCTTTTTTACGGTATGCCCCCTGTACCAGCATGCCCAGTTGATATTAATTAAGATATCCCAACACAGATGGTAGACATGAATCTTCAAAAGATTGAATGTGAGAGTATATTTAAGAACAAAGAACTTTTAAAGAGGTGTATTGGTAAAAAATGTCTTCGAGAAGTTTTCAGACGAGGACAAGTAGATCCACCAAATCAAGGTATGAAGTTGTGTGTGTTTCGAAAAATTGTTCTTGGTTACTAAGAGCAAAAGCAATTAAAAATTCTGATGGACTTTTCCAAGTGAATAAAATTGTTGATGTACACACATGTTCTTCAACAATTTTGCAACCTAATCATCGACAAGCAAACAAATATGTTTTGGGTGAATATCTTGCTGATGTTTTGGCTGAAGATTATAGTAGAGTTTATCGGGGAAAAGATATTATTAATGATATGAATGCTCAATTGAATATCAATATCTCATACCATCAGGCATGGCGTGCGAAGCAATATGCATTGTTGTTGTTAAGGTGTACGAAAGAGGATTCTTTTACCAAACTTCCGGCTTATTATCACAATTTGGTCAAACATAATCCGGGTACGGTGACACATATTAAAACAGATGGTGATGATCGCTTTGAGTTTTTGTACGTCGCACTCGGTTGCTCGGTTACTATTATAATATTTTATTAATTTTTTCATTTTTATTTTGGTGTATTTGAATAGATATACAATGTATTGTAGGTACCCGCTTTTGTCAAATTTTGTAAACCGACCCTAGTAGTAGATGGAGCCCACCTAAAGGGCGAGTTCAAAGGTACCATGTTACTTGCAGTTACTAAGGACGGACAAAACCAAATATTACCTGTTGCATATGGTATATGCAAAAATGAGTGTACCGATTCTTGGACATGGTTTTTTCAAAAACTACGTGATTGCATAGGAAATATGCAGGAGCTTACAATTATATCTGATAGGTCTCCATCTATAGCAACATCCGTTGCCAACATTTTTCCTCACGCTCATCATGGAATATGTGGTGTCCATTTGTATTTCAACATAGTATCTAGATTCGGGAAGAGTAACACAGTTAAAGGAATTTTTTGGGAGGCTTGTAGGGCGTACACAGTTGATGCTTTTGACGCTGCCATGGATGTTATGAAAAAGACAAAAGAACCAGTATGGGAGTACTTAAAAGGTATAAATCCAGAAACTTGGTCAAGGGCACATTTTAAAGGGAACCGATACAATCTTATGTCGTCCAACAGTGCGGAGTCTATAAATGCATTATCTAGACACGCACGTAAGGTGTCGATACTTATGTTGATCGATTTTTTTCGTGCAACAATGCAACAATGGTGGTTTCAAAGACGTAACTTTGCAGGTATTAAGTTAATTTTTAATATAAATGTTTTATTAATTTAATGTTATTGATGTTAACTTCT